ATGAGTGAAAGGCGGGGCCAGTTCTCCTGCCTTCACACCCTCAGGGTTGCCCCCCAACTACACCATCAGGGCCAGCTCTAGTGTGTTACCCAGGTGAGGTTCAGGGGCCACTCTCCTAAGTACTGTAGATGGTGAGGGGCAGACAACTCTCCTGCTCATGTGAACCCAGGGCAAGCTATGTCACCTGTCTCAGGTATTAATGGGCAGAGGATGGGATGGAAGAGCACCTCTCCTCTGCCCACATTGCCACATGTTAGATGAGTAATAGGGACAGCTCTCCCTTGCTCAGAACAACAGGGCTGGGTCACCCTCACTTCTGAAAAGAGGGTCAGCTCTGCTGTGCTGCCCAGGCCAAGAGCAGGACCTGCTTTCCTGAGTGCTGCAGTTGGCAAGGGGAAGGGTCAGCTCTGTTCTCGGTGGCAGGTGGTATGTCGCAGGTATGGGGAGATCATCTCCCCACCCCCACTGCTGCATGACAGGTGAGTCATGGGGACAGCTCTTCCACACCTTCAACTCCAGGGCTGGCTCGCCCACACCTCTGCTAACAGGGTTGGCCCTATTATGTTGTCCAGGTAGGAACAGGGCCTGCTCTCCTGAGTTGGTGGGGGCCAGGGGCAGCCCTCCCACTCTTGTGACCTCAGGGCCAGTTGTCCCCCTTGCCTCAAGGCATTGGTGGCAGGAAGGCGAGGGCATACTTCCCCTGCTCCTGCCGCCACAAGACAGATGGGTGACGGAGCCAGCTCTCCCATGCTGACAACTACAGAGCTGACCACCACCTGAGCTTAGAGGACTGACGCTATTGTGCTATCCAGGCTGGGGGCAAGGCCTGTTCTTCTGCTCTGATGACCTCGTGGCCACCACGAGGAATGATGACATCTTTCCACTCACCTCTGCTGCCACCAGACAGATGAGTCACGGGGACAGCTCGTCTATGCTCACAGCTTCAGGGTCGGCTCCCCCACATCGCCGCTAACTGGGCTGGCTCTACTGAGCCGACCTGGTGAGGTGCAGGGCCTGCTCTCCCACGTGCTGCACCCCATGGTGGGCAGGGACTGTTCTTCCACTCTTGTTACCCCAAAGACCACTCTCCCACTTGCCTTAGGTGGTGATGGGCAGGAGGGGGATCATTTCTCCCCACTGCCATGTGGCAGCCATAGCGCGAGGGGGACAAGACAGGATCATGGGAGGAAGTGAAGATAACAATTATATACAACCAAGCATGGTGGATGGCGCATGCCTCTAATCCCAGCACTCAGGCGCTAAAGGCAGGCCGATCTCTGTGAGTCTCAGGCCAGTCCAGTCTACAGAACAAGTTCCAGGACAGCCAGGACACAGAGAAAGCCTGTCTCAAAAAAACACAAACACAAACAACAAATACCCTAGGATTAGCTAATCAGTGTGGTGGACACGCTCTACTGTGACAACTTTAAGACACCGAAGAGAGAAGTGGGAGATGACACTAGAACGATCGCCCGTGCTCACGAATCGGGAGAACGAGTTTTGCGGAAGTGATGTCAGTATTGTGAAAATAAACTTCAGAGTCAATGCAGTCCCCACCAAACCCCCGATGTTATTCTTCACGAAACTAGAAAAACCAATTCTAAAATTAGTGCAAAGAAAAAGAAAAATCTCTGAATATCAAAAGCAGTCCTCAGCATAAGGAGCAATGCCGGGGGAGGGGTGTAAACCCCAAACTCAAATTATATTACAGAGCCACGGTAACAAGACCACATGACCGCAATCTAATTGAGCAGAAGACATGAGGGCTTGCCGTGCAAGCAGTAGGACCCGAGTTCAATCCCCAAGCCCATGCTAAAGAGCCAAGTGTGGTGTGTGCACTTGTAATCCCATGACTGAGGAGATGGAGACCATTAGACACCTAGGGCTGACGAGCCAGTCAACCTGAACTAAGCAGTGAGTTTCAGTCAAAAGAGGTGGACAGTGCCTGAGGTACATTGTAGTTTTATAGGCAGAGACTATGAGATCAATCTGAAGGGTGGCAAATAAGGCCCCAAAACTGTTCCCAATGAGAGGAAGGGGAAAATGGTGGATTAACCTCCCAGCCCTGCAGCCCCCAGCACATCCTTTCCACGGATGCTTCCCACACCATTCCTAAGAGGACCAGTTGACCTCAGCCACCCACAGTGTTTATCTGCTTATCATCAGTATGTTCTTCCTAGCTGCCCTGTCTTCTTTCTCCTAGCCCTGTGTGTGCCTCTTGGCATCACCTCCGCTTGGATTGTGCGGACTCAAGTCTTACACTCAGGATCTGTCGATTTTTCTGAAAAATAGAATCTGCAGGGAAATAATCACACACACACACACACACACACACACACACACACACAAGTGCATGCCTGCACATGCACACACATGAATGTGCGTGCATGCATGAATATATTTTTCATGCAATTATGGGTTCTGGAAAAATCCTAAATTTTCAAAATTAACATCCTTCTTCAAAAGTTGTTGGATAAGAAGAACTTATGTGCCAGGTCAAAGGCTCCCTTGGGAAGAATCAACCTTTTATTTTATTCATGCCTTCAGCTGATTAAATGAAACTCACCCACACAATGCAAGACAACTGTTCTACGCAACCGATTTTAATGTTAACCTCATCCAAAAAACTGCTCAGAAACACCCAGAATAATATTTGACTAATATTACTGGAGTATTTGGGCACCGCATGACCAAGTCAAGTAGACACAGAAATTAATTACCATGAGGTCTGATTGGAGAAAACACAACCAAAACAGCAAATGCAGCTGCTCATTTTAGAGAACATTCTTCACTTTGTAATAAGTGTTTTCCGTGAACCAAAAATTGTGTATTTCTCCTTCTGCCACCTTATCTGCATCCTAATGTAGACTTGTGGTTCCAGTCAAGAAGGCTTACAACCCTCAGGACAAAACAGCCTGCCATTGCTGTCTGTGCTTGTGAGACAGGACAGGAGGGGGTGAAGGACAGACTTCAATGGTGTGCACATCTGGAGATTCAACATCTTCCTGGCTCATGTTCTGATCCTCAGGTACACTCCACTTCTCTGGAGCTGACGGTTAATCCCACTAACCGGGAGGCCAGATGGGTGTTTACATCCTACAGGGTAGTCCAGCATAGGGTGACCCCAAAGCCACCAATAGCGCGGTCAGAAGCTCCTGGCTTTGCGATCGCTGTCCCTGGTGCTGACAGGAACCTAAAGCCTGTGCCAACACGCATGTTTCTGTCCTTGGTGCTGCCCATTGATGCCTCTCTTTCCTCAAGGTTTGATTGAAAGAGTGGGTTTTTGAAGCAAAGATGAAGGGTAAACATGCCGTTTCCTTCGCCCTGAAGTGTTGTAAGGTTTAGGTTTCTGGTCTGTGTGCCCCCATTCACACTGAGCACTCACTTTCTTTGTGCAAGAAATTTAGCACAGTTGATAGAGAAAAACTAAGCAGGTAACGACTGAAGCTTGCACTTGCTGGCACTTAGCCAGCAAGGAGAGGATGATACTTCGGCAATCCTCAGAATAGAAATTTTTCTCAGGTTAGAGGTGTGGTTCAGGGAAAGTTCTTGCTTAGCTTTCAAAAGGCCTCAGGTTAGTCACACGATAGCACAACGATAATGAATGACAATCAGAAAATTCATTCCTTCTAATTTCCGATAGCCAATTATGATAGCAATTCCTATGTATTCTGTTTTCTAATTATCTCTTGGGTTGGTCCACTCCTCACCTCCTTCAGGACTTCCACAGTGATCACAAAGGCCATCGTCACTGATTTCATCCTATGTGCCTAATTGTCATCGTGTCTTGCAAGAACTATGTCTCGCCGGGCAGTGGTGGCACATGCCTTTAATACCAGCACTTGGGAGGCAGAGGCTGATGGATCTTTGTGAGTTCAATACCAGCCTGGTCTACAAGAGCTAGTTCCAGGACAGGCTCCAAAGCTACAAAGAAACCCTGTCTCCAAATACAAAAACAACAAAAAAGAATTATGTCTCTGGGATATTGTTCAAAGAGGAATAATTCTGGCATATAATAATTATGCCAGAATATAGGTATGCTGTTTAAATGCCTTGTCATAATATATTACCAGTTTGGAGATCTATGCCATCTCAGAAAGCAGACGTTCAAGAGCAATGCTCTTATTTTATTTTATTTTGCTTACTTGCTTGTTTGTTTGTTTATTGTTTTTTTCGAGACAGGATTTCTCTATGTAACAGTCCTGACTGTCCTGGAACTCACTCACTCTGTAGACCAGGCTGGCCTCAAACTCAGAGACCCAACTCTGTCTCCCGAATGCTGGGATTAAAGGAGTGTGCCACTACCGCCCAGCGCAGTGCTTTTATTTTAAAGAGACCAAAAGATAATGCATTTATTCCCGTTATAAAGGTTAATCAAGAGCAATATAAAATTGGAAACAAGTTAAGCCTATAGAGGAGCGCCGAGGCTGTGTCAAACTGTAAGTGGATGAGGAACTGTACAGGTAGGTTCTGTTTTTACAGATGGGATGACAAGGTTCAAACCGTTCAAGAAATTTGCCAATTCAAACAAATCCTCAAAGCCAGATAAATTTCCTGCAGCCACATAGGCAGACAAGCAAGGGACACAAGGACTGATCAAATGCGGGCTTCCGCTCTCCTGCCACAGAGACTCAGGCCACTGGCAGAGGTGGGAGGTATGGGGAAGGGGTCTGGGAGAAGAACCCAGAGTCCCCAGGAGAGCAGAGCGCCCAGGCAAAGAGAGAAGACAAGGGGTTACAAATGAGAAGGCTGCGTCTGCGCACAGGTGGAACAGGGGGGCTTCCGGGGCTACAGGGTCGACAAAACGGCTGTGATGCAATCACGCAAGTCACCGCGTCAACGCGTGGATCCCAGGATGCGCACACCCCAGACCCCTGCATCCAGCTGCGGTTAATCCTGAGGGCAGCCGCCGCCACCCACTTGTCCCCCCTCCGCAGCAACCGCCCAGGGTCCCCGGCGATCCCCGACCACCGCGGCAATTTCCGAGATCTGCCGAGGCCATGACACCGACACCGGCGGGCGGCCGCGGCGGCTGGGGCTGGGGTGGCGGCAAGGGAGGCGGCAAGGGAGGTGACTCTGGTTCGGGGGGCAAAGGAGGCTTTGGGGCGCGCACGCGCGGCTTCAGCGGCGGCGGCCGGGGCCGGGGCCGGGGGCGCGGCGGCGGTGGCGGCGGCGGCGGGCAGCGGCGCGGCGGGCAGGCCAAGAACAAGAACCGCCGCAGGAAGGCCATCGCCGTGTCGGTGGAGCCGCATCGGCACGAGGGCGTGTTCATTTACCGCGGCGCGGAGGACGCGCTGGTCACCCTGAACATGGTCCCGGGAGTCTCGGTGTACGGAGAGAAGCGCGTCACCGTGGTGGAGAAGGGCGAGAAGCAGGAGTACCGCACTTGGAACCCCTTCCGCTCCAAACTGGCCGCTGCCATCCTGGGTGGCGTGGACCAGATTCACATCAAGCCCAAGTCCAAAGTACTGTATCTGGGCGCCGCTTCGGGAACCACTGTCTCTCACGTCTCCGACATCATAGGCCCAGACGGCCTGGTCTATGCGGTTGAATTTTCCCACCGCGCCGGCCGAGATCTGGTCAACGTGGCCAAGAAACGCACCAACATCATCCCGGTACTGGAAGATGCCCGGCACCCGCTCAAGTACCGCATGCTCATCGGAATGGTAGACGTGATCTTTGCCGACGTGGCCCAGCCGGACCAGTCCCGCATCGTGGCGCTGAACGCCCACACCTTTCTGCGCAACGGAGGCCACTTTCTCATTTCCATCAAGGCCAACTGCATCGACTCCACAGCGTCCGCGGAGGCTGTGTTTGCTTCCGAGGTGAAGAAGCTGCAACAGGAGAACTTGAAGCCACAGGAGCAGCTAACCCTGGAGCCCTATGAGAGGGATCACGCTGTGGTCGTCGGAGTCTACCGGCCCCCTCCCAAGAGCAGCAGCAAGTAGCAGCAACAGACAGGGAAGGTGCCCCGCACTGCCACGAGACTGAGTTGTGTCTTTGTGCCTGTCCTATTGTGTTGTTTTTCTATTAAATGAAATAAACAATTCCCAAGTGTACTACTGTGAGACCAGGCTGGGGTTTGCAGCCGCACATTAATTCACGGTCCCGTCTTGGTGGACTAATCCGGATGGTACAGGCCCCTTCAAGGAAAAACTTGGGAGTGGTGTCCATTCTAATAACCGCAGGCCTTAGCTCCTTGGGGGTCCCATTTTCACACATGCATCTTCTAACCACAGGATCAGGAAAAAGAGAGCCTGGGGTTGCTGATGATCTTTGAAATATTTCCTAGGGAAGTGAGGAGGCACTGTCTGTCCCAGTCAGGTCACATGACCAAGGCTGATTACAGGGGAGGGTACCTATTCAAGCTGTCTGACTCAAACCCAGACTCTTCCGTGTGAGCATACTCTCTTTTTCCCTTCCTCCCTCTCTTCTTCTCTCCCTCCCTCCCTCCCTCCCTCCCTCCCTCCCCCCCCCCCCCCCCCCCCCCCCCCCCCCCTCCTTCCTTCTGTTGCCTCCCCCTTCTCTCTCTCTTCGAGACAGGGTTTCTCTGTGTATCCCTGGCTGTCCTGGAACTCGTCTGTAGACCACGCTGGCCTCAAACTCAAAGACCCACCTGCCTCTGCCTCCTGAGTGCTGGGATTAAAAGGCCCAGCTGTGTTGTGTTTTTCTGAAACACAGTCTTCCTTTGTAGCCCTGGCTGAGCTTGCACTTCAATCCTCCTGCCTCTGCTTCCTAAGTAAATGGGAATTACAGAAGTGTACCACAAAACCCAACCCAAACACAGAATTTTAGCCATACGTTTTTTCATTCTTTTTCCAGTACTGTAGCATGTCATCGTCTCCCGCAGCTCTGCTGGCTTGGTTTCCATGTTATGTTCCATTTGACGCAATGGGTAAATACCTATTGTCCAAACTTACGCAGGTGGGAAAAGCTCGATGCCACTTTGGGCATCCACTGTGCTGTCTTGACTCTGCCCCTTTCCTCCAGCACACACAAAGCCGGGCTCTGAGGCCGGTGGTGTCCTCTCACGATGTCCTTGGGCTATCCATTTCTAAGGTTTCACAGTAGCAAAGGGAGGCGGGGAAGCAGATAGAGTGTTGAGTCTGACACACCCAAGGTGACATCACCAAAGGTCTACAGAACAGCCAGCAAAGACAGTTTTGGGAACTATTCCTCTCAGAAGGTAACGCTGGGCTCAGCACACTGGATTCTGGCTCTCAGAACTAACCCATCCTAGAAGCAGAAAGGCTAATCTGGGTTACACAGTAAGATTTGTCAAAGATAAAGACAAATACAAAGGAGCAGGAGAATGAGCAATGGCAGAGCTCAGGATTTCCTAAAGCCTAGTACCCCATCCTCAAGCCCCAAGCAGACTTTCAATGCTTTCATTCACACCCCAAGCCCCACTGCCAGCTGGCAAAGTCATCAGTGTGTAACCAGGGGGTGCAACATTTGGAGAGAAGGTTTGACTTCTTAATGTGCCCAGGGTGGGGCTGGCAAAATGGGTCATCAGATAAAGGGGCTTGCTTCTTAACCCTGATGATGAGATCAGTCTCCAGAACCCCTGGGAGAAGCCATGAACCAACTCCCCCAGAATGCCCTCTGATCTCCACATGCGTGCATGGTCATGTGCATGCAAGCACATATACAATGAAATTTAAAATGTAATTTAAAAAAGGACACTTTTGAATATGTGCTCAGGGAGAGACCTGGCCTCGCCTGCTCTGCTCCAGGGTGCAACTCCCTGAACAACAAAAGGATAAAGCATCATGTCCTCATCCTTGCACTAAAGCCCAGGGACAGTCACAGGGCTAGTCCTCTCCTTATCAACTGAGAGAGTTGAAGTTCCAGGTGAGAAATCTCACTCAAGACATCTCCTACCCTTCCCCCCAAAAGACTCACAGCCTGAAATCAAACCCTAGCAGTCTTGACTCCCAAATCGATGTCATTTCCGCTAAGGTCTATGCGGATCTGTTGCTTTGCAAAGCCCCATCTCCAGTCCCACCACAAGGAATGAGTAGCTGGGGTAAGGTGTGGAGTCTGGGAATGGAATCTCAGGACATCGGGGAAGATGGAAGGAAAGAAAGAGACTGCTGGGCACAGCCTTCATCAGAGCCAGCCCAGTCCAGCTAATAAACTCTGGATTGTTCCTTACAGGGCATGCATTTCCCCCAGACCAGGGCATAGAGCAGGGACTCAGCTGCCATCCTGACAGTGGGTTCTTCCCTACTCCAGACAAACCGTCACATGGGCTACATCTGAAGATGCTAAAATGGAGCCCATTAAGAACAAAGAGCATGACAACCATCTTCTCAAGGATCCCTTTGAGTCCAGAAGGAGGGCTTGCTCCAGTAGCCTATTATTCTAAAAGCTGAGGCAGGAAAATCACTTGTATCTAGGAGTTCAAGGTCAGCTTGGGTAACAGAGGGAGACACTGTCTCTAAAAAGAAAAAGAAGCAATCCCCACAAAGTTCAGAGAGATTGTGATTCAAAGGAAGGGCATGGTGGAGAACCATGAGACAGGCAGGAATAAGGACAGAGGGCAGGAGGGTAAGGCCTGGTTTGGGAGGAGGGCAGGGACAAGATGAGACTCACACCAGTGGGAGGTAAAATCCTAAGGCATCCTAGAGGTAACAGAGACTCTGGTACCAGATTTACTCAGAGCTACATCCGCTTGCTTTTCCAGAAAAGTCATGTTTGGGTCCCTCAGTGTATAGTTGACTCAAGCCATAGTTGACAAAATACCTCAACTCACAAGACCCAGGCCTAGGACAACCAGCATTAAAGAAATGGGTGTCGGGGATAAAGAAAGGCTTTATTCGGTGGCCAGACTCTGCTCACAAACAAGCTTCTCCCTCCCAGGGCTGGAGAGCTCCAGATACAGGGTAGACGTGATGGGGAGACATGAGCAGGAAAGAGGTTATCATTCATCACTCCTTGTGAATGGGCAGGGATCACCGAGGGACTTGGAGGCCACCTCTTCACTCTTGTCACGGTCTGGTCCTGAGTCTTAGTAGCTGTGGGTATATTTAGCTTCGATGGGACTGTGGGGTAGGGAGGAAGAAGAGGAGGGAGAAAAATGGGGGGGGGGAGTATAAGACAAGTCTATGCCAAGGTAAGGTTTCCCAAATGATCACCACCTCCACAGACAGAGCTGAGCAGACTGTAACACCAAGCTTAAGGCAGCAAAGGGGACAGAGTATGAGGACAGGTGACAACCCTTCTCAGCCAATCCCAGTAGACACGCTAGACACCTGCGGGCCCAAGTGAAGAGTTCATGTTTTCTGCAAGTCACCCAGAGTCCATAAAAGACAGCCCAGTTATTGTTACCATAACCCACACAGTAAAGGTAGAAGCTATATATAATGTTTCTCCAGGCTATATGATTTCCAAACCAAACAAATCTTAAACAATTTAAAAACTCATGTATGTGTGTGTTTCTGTATGCAGCTATATGCACATGAGTGCAGGGGTCACAGGAGTCAGAGGAGCTGGGGTTACAGGAGGTTGGGAGGTACTTGCCAAGGATGCTGGGAATTGAACTAGGATCCCTTGCAAGGGCAGTACAAACTTAACCACTGAGCCATCTCCTCCCCTCCCTCATTTGATCAGTTTTAGGACAATTAGGAGCAGTAAAGCTAGAGTTTCTGTAGTTTTTTTTTTTTTTTTTTTTATCCCTCTCCTTAACACCAAGAGGGAGATTTGTTAGGATGGGTCAGTGTTTCTTTCTTTCTTTTTCTTTTTTTGGTTTTTCGAGACAGGGTTTCTCTGTGGCTTTGGAGCCTGTCCTGGAACTAGCTCTGTAGACCAGGCTGGTCTTGAACTCACAGAGATCCGCCTGCCTCTGCCTCCCGAGTGCTGGGATTAAAGGCGTGCGCCACCATCGCCCGGCTAGGGTCAGTGTTTCTGACACACTGCCTGACTTCTAGTTTTGGGGGTCTAAGTGGGAGATATCGTTGTGGTTTGGGTGAGAAATGTACCCCATAGTATTTAAATGCTTGGTCCCCAGTTGGTAGTACTGTCTGGGGCGATGTTCCAATCTTGTTGGAAGAAGAACATCATTGGGGACAGGTCTAGAGAGTTCCTAGCCTCATTCCACAGAGATCATCCTCTGTGCTGGGTGTTTGTGGCTGAGATGTGACTTTTTCTTCTTTATTTTTATTTGTTTTGGTTTTTCGAGACAGAGTTTCTCTGTAGCTTTGGAGCCTGTCCTGGAACTAGCTCTTGTAGACCAGGCTGGCCTCAAACTCAGAGATCTGCCTGCCTCTGCCTCCTGAGTGCTGGGATTAAAGGCGTGCATCACTACTTCCTGACTAAGGATGTGACCTCTTGGCTCCCTGTTCTGGCTCTCTGCTGCCGTGCCTCTCCCTCCCTGCACCCCCACCCGCTGCCCCATGGGAACTCTGTAGACCAGGCTGGTCTTGAACTCACAGAGATCCGTCTGCCTCTGCCTCCCGAGTGCTGGGATTAAAGGCGTGCGCCACCATCGCCCGGCTAGGGTCAGTGTTTCTGACACACTGCCTGACTTCTAGTTCTAGAGGGAGAGGGGGAACTCTCCCTCTGGAACTGTTAGCCAAAATAAACCATGTAGCCACTTTTGGTCATGGTGTTTTTATCACAGCTACAGGAAAGTCATGAATACAAGCTTTGTCTGCAATAACACACAGACCTGGTGGCTTAAACAGGTCCTTATCAGTTCCGGAGGCTACAAATCCAGGTGCAAATTTGGCTCTACTCCACTAAGGGTGGTGCACCTTCTTACTGTTTCTCACAGTAAGAGAGCTTTTTTGGTATTTCTTCCTCTTCTTGCAGAATTAAGAGCCCCACCCTCATGACTTTTTGATCTGTTATTGCCTCCTTTAGGTTCTTTCTCATTGGGAGTTGCATAGGGAGCCAGGCCATCTTACAGACTTGGAGGAACACATTTTAATGTGTAATGCTAGGAATGGGCAAGAACAGTAAGCTAAAATGACATCCTTACTGCACTGTGAGAATTGGCTGAGGACACCAAGTCCGTCGAGGAACTGGGGGCATGCTTGATGCCGTGTGCCTTTATCTTTTCCTACTGTCAACAGATGAAATCAACAAGGCAGATTAGCAGCAGAGCTCAAAAAGCTGGGTGGCAACGCACACCTTTAATCCCAGCACCTGGGAGGCAGAAGCAGGTGGATCTCTGAGTTCGAGGCCAGCCTGTTCTACAGAGTAAGGTCCACGACAGAATATTGAGAACTCAGTGTCAGGGATTGCCTCGGAGTGTAGGGAAACTTTTTAGCATGGTTTCCATTGAGTGTGGTCCAAGCTGGACTAGGCAGAACTTGCTAAGTTTCAGAGTCAGCTGCTCCACCTACAGCCACAGAGGAGCCAGCCCAGGCATCAGCGAGTGCCAAGCAGCAGAGGGGGGCTGGAGGCTGCGGCTCAAAGGGTCTCACAAGGTGGACTGTGCACCAAAAGGAAAAGCAAAACAACAAAGGCTCTGTACATGGCCCTTACCATCACTGTGATGACAATGGAGATGACACTGCCCTTGCCTGTGTGTCACGAAAAAGCCTAGGGGAAACCACAGTCCATAAAATTGGTACTTTCCAGTCTGAGCTCATCAAACACTGGTGAGTGCGTTTTAAATACCTCCATAAATTCTTCGCATGATGTGCTTGTTATATCTCAGGAACAAAGTAAAGCATTAACTCGAAAATTTCCAGATAGTTTCTCTGTGTAGTCCTGACTGTCCTGGAACTATGTAGACCAGGCTGGCCTGGAACTCTAGACGAGTCCTGTCTCTGCCTCCCCAGTACTGGGATTAAAGTACTTTGTCACCCTCACCCTGCTACTTGAATTTTAAAAGTATGATTTTTAAGTTAAAATTTTAAATGCTGAAACCCAACACTGAACTTGATGGATTGCTATACAATGAAAACAAGGTTCACAGACACGGCTAGTGTTTTATAGCTCAAAGCAAGAACACACCCCAGTCCCAATTTTGCTGCTCTTGGGGGCTAGCGTTTAAACTGGAAGTTCCCAGGTTCTTGACATCATTCAAGAATGAAAACCCTAGACTGCGAAGCAGGGAGAAAACTTTTGAAATTAAACAGTAATCTAGAACTCACATCAAGACAACAGACAGCAAGTGGGGGTGGATACTGGAGTGGTGAGGTGGATGAGTATGATCCAAATACAATGACACGTACGTATAAAGTTAGTGAAATGCTGTAGTCTTAAAAAAGGTTGACAGCAGGTCACCTAAGTGTAGCTATTCACACTCAAAAGCTCCAGGTTGTTGCCTAGAGGCTAAGGGAAGAAGAGGCTGGCTACTAAGGGTCATAGTTTGGACAGCTATTTAACATAAAGCATCAGCAGTTATTTAAAACACACTGCCCTCAATTGAGAAATGTCAATAAACAGCTTGTTTCCACAACTTACACAGCACCCACAGAATCAAACATCAACTTTCTTTCCCAGATGTAGTGCTGACTTTGAACAAAGCAATCACACTTCAGTGAAGTGTTGAACTCTTTAGCAGCTACTTACAACTGCAAGTTGTGCTTTGTTTGTGGAAGCTGAATTATCCCTCAAATGCAGCATCTCCACATCCCACCATCCTTACCCACCCAACTTCCTGCTCACAGGAGTCTAACAGGAAAGCTGTTTTACATCATATCAACTGTTACTATACACCTGGAGTCAAGACAATGCCATCAGTTTGTACTTTCCCCTCTCAAACAGGCACTGACTACTAAACAGCAGCTGGGCTGGAGAGATGGTTTGGAGGTTAAGATCTGTTACCACTCTTGCAGGACAAGGGGTTCAGCTCACAGAACTCACATCCACCTCTAATTCCAGTTCCAGGGGTTCCAACAGTTTCTGGCCTTCCTGGCTACTAGGCATGCACACAGTACACATAAATTTACATGCAGGCAAAATATGTACACAAAAAATAAAACTAAAGATTAAAAAAAAAATAAGATCTAGTTTAGAATAAACTTTCTCAAATTGTGTCACCAAGGTATAAGATGTCCTGTCAAATGTACACACGACATAGAAAAATGGTCTCATTCCAGAATAAGAAAAGATTTTTATATCTGTGTGAGACTTTGAAGGTACATTACATTACTCAAGCAGTCTAGATACACAAGAACACTTTACAGTCAGTTCATTAAACATATCATTTATTGGTTACTTTCTCAGTACCAGATATTGGAGATACAGGAGTGAAGAAATCTTTACAATGTCCTTATTCCCATGGAGTATACCCTCTAGCAGTTAACCACCATGAGATCAAACCTTATGCTGAATCAGAGTGGAGACGCAGCTGCTCAGTACTACAAGATGAAACAACCAAGAGACACATGTAGTAAATAAGAGAATTTATTTGGAAAGTAGGGTATAAAAGGCATGATTCTAACACTTATTTAGAATATTAACAAATTAGAAAAAGTTAGAAACTACAGAAAAGGTAGACACCCTGAAGCTGGCTTAATGGCTGGCCACATGGGACAAACAAGTAGAATCTAAGATTTTATCATGCAAATAAGCATTAAAGGAAAAAAGTGTGGGAATGTTTACAGAGCAGGCCACAACAAATATTTTAAATTTTTACATTAAGAAACTGTACATAAATGGAAAAATAAATTAGGTAATTTACAAGAAATGTTTTATAGGTTACAATAGGCTATAACTTAGTTTTTATTATGCATAAAGTTTGTAGCACATCATACATTTTTACATAAGATTTAATATTAGAAGAATCTAAACATAACAAAGCTTGGACTAACAAAAATAATGCCACCAATATAGTAAGGCAGCTTACACTGAAGTGACATGTATAAGTAAAATAATCCCCAATTTAAAAATGCTCAAAAATGGGACAGAAAATTCCTAGGATTGATTTCATCAGAACTGGGCAGAACTGAAAAGAATGCCTTTCGACTTCAGTTAAAATGACAGAAATGCGCTTAGCTCAAACAGTAGGCACACGTGACCATGTATCTGAACCTCACTTACTGCAGGAGTGATTTACATGCACGATTAGGACCATGACACTCAGCTATGCAGAACCAAAACCTTTTGTTTAGAGAACAAACCAGTAGCCAGGCGGTGGTGACACACACCTTTATTCCCAGTCTTGAAAAACCAAACCAAACAAACACTCCCCAAAACCCAAACTAGTTTGTGAATAAAGATCAGATTCCCAAGCACAGTGCTGGAAGCCAGCAGCAAAATTCCAGCATTAACTCACACTGGCTTTTAGAAGTAAGGACATTGCTGCCGGGCACAGGTCTGTCCCACTAAGATCAGTAAAAAGAGGTTTTAGGTCTTCTGTCTGCCTCATTAGATCCACCCATCTCAACTTACTTGCATGCAATTCCTTTTTCGTTTTGTAAATGTGGCTGGGAACTATGCGTTGGACATATACAAAACCTTCAGAGACGGGCTTTAACTCTCTGAATTTAAAGGTGTAGTTTCTTCTTGTACAAATGAAAAGTACTAATAATTCCTACATAATTTTTAGGATAACTGTAAAAAAATTCAAGGTACTTCATAGATGAATGTATGCCCCCGCTTTCCAACAGCTATCATAGATGGTAACCGGGGAGAATAGCATTTTTCTGGTTTTGTAAGTACTCATCAGCACAAGCTAATAAAAGCCAGAAAGAAGCACTGCCAGGAATGAAGCAGTTGTTCTCAGGCTCCTGACAACTATGTCATTTCCACAGTAGCCACTGAATTCCCAGTTTACAAATAAAGATAGTGACATTCAAAGAAGCTGGGCCAATGACCAGCACACCATAAAGCATTATCAAATTTCAATTTCACATGTATTGAATATATATACAAGACAGCACAGTGTAGCCAATAGGGAGCTGCTGTCCAAAACAGTTTAACCTTTTGTTACGTAGAAATAAGACAGCAGAAAACCTGGGACAATATCTTTTCACGCTGATGTTTTAAATCAGCATCACAATCTTCAAAGAAGAAAATCACATTATGAGACTCACCAAAAAAGATAATTCTTGTTACAAACTGCAAACAAAAAGTAATTTTGTAAGATTATGGGATGCAGGCCAGATGTGGTGGCATATGCCTTTTCTTACCAGCACCTGGGAGGCAGAGAAAGACAGGATCTCTTGTGAGTTTTAGACCAGCACAAAATGAGTTCCAGGACAGCCAGGACTGTTGCACAGAGAAACTGTCTCAAAAAGCAAAACCAAAACAAAACAAAACCAAACAACAAAAAACCCACAACCCAGAAAAACCAAACCAAAGATTATCTGACGACACAAATGACTGGGCTGGGAAAAGAAAACACTGACATTTTGAAGCAATCATCTTAAAATCGAGTATTTTCAAAAAGAATATATTTTGATTATTTTGTTTACATATAGCACAAAAGTTGAATGCAAAGTAATGGACATTCATTTTCATTAAGCTTCATCAATTTTTAACATAACTTAGAATTTCTGAATTATATTCGCAAATGCAACACACTAACAAAGATAAAGTGCTCAACAAAAGAAAGATACAAATAAACTAATATGAAAAAACTTTGTTTCTAACAAAGTGGTTTTATAGGGGACATTTGGAAACTATGGCCAGGCCAAGCTTTTAACCCAAGAATGTAACCCCCAAACAGCATTACCTTTTAGGAACGGTTCCTCAAACACAGCGAACATATGCATTCTCAGGAGCAACATCAATTAAGAGTTTTTCAAGAGTCCAAGTTTTGCAAATAATGAGAACCTCCAGAGGTTGGCTTTCAATTATCATGCACATTACTGACCTCGGCAATGACTTTATCCAAAGGAGGGGCCCACTACTTCCCCACCTACTTAGAGTAACAGAGGGAAAGGCTGTGCTAACCTATGTGACCTGTGTATTAGAAGCCTGGGATTCGGCTAGTTAAAAGGCAACACTCTGGAGGAGTGGTGGTGCTTTAGATCTGTATGTGTATTTTACCACCAAAACCATGGCTGACAATGCTCTTAGCATTTGAAGTTAATCAGAATTTTTATAAAGATTCTCTGTACATATAAAAGACAGCAATGAGTTAAAAAGTGTTTCTGAGCAATCCTTCAAAACTGACTGCACAAAACTCAGAAACTTTAGAAACTAAGTCCCTGAAATTAATTTTGCTTCCATGAAGGAAATCCATTAGTTTGGAGATTGTTAACTACTAGGGTTATCACAGGCAGTTTTATCAGTATCAGATATTAGAAAAATCCCATACAAGAGATGACACAATGCCAACATATAGTATTTTTGGAATAGTAACAGCTTGTCTGTGTAAAATAAACTGTCTCAAATAAACGACCTTCTTTATATTTAAAAAAAAAGCCCCCCCACCATCTCATTCTTTTAAAAGCTCATATTAATAAAGTTCTCATGGACACACAATAGTATTCTCTTTTAATTTTAGCACACCTTTAATCTCAGTAGCCAGGAGGCAGGTGGATTTCTTGAATTCAAGGTTTACCTGGTCTACATAGCCAGTTCCAGGCCAGCCAGGGCTAGACTAGCTGAGACTCTGTCTCAAAAATAAAACCAGAAGTTCAAGAAAAACACTAGCACAGTGGGCACTATTTATGTATTTGGTTATGAAATCTTAAATGTAGTCAGTTCAAATTGAGATGCGCCATTTAAAATGTACATCGACAAAGGCTAAATAATTAAAAACAAAAATAAGCAAGAGGGCAAAATGTATCTCCCAATATACTTTTTGTACTGATTTCACACTGAAATAACACATTAGATACATCGGTTAAAAAGAAAAAAAAGGACATAAAACCCACATGTACTAAAATGACTGTAATCTATTTCATCTTAGTTTTTAATGTTATTGAACAATATAAAATTATACAAGGTTTACACTTTATTTCTATTAAACAGCACTGCTTAAGAACACAGACCTTAGTTGGGTGGTGGTGGCACACAAATCCCAGTACTAGGGAGTCAAAGGGAGGTGGATCTGAGTTTGAGGCCAGCCTGGTTTACACAGTGAGTTCCAGGACAGCTAGGACTGTTACACAAAAAACCCCCGTCTTGAAAAACTAAAACACAAAAACAAACAAACAAAACACACACACAAAAAAAAAAACCTTAAAATAAAACCCCAAACAAACAACAAAAACCAAACCACAGACCTTCAATCAGGCTGACTGATATTAAAAGCAAACCTATTTATAACAACAAGTTTACAGGGAATTTCTCAAGAGCAATGTAAAGCAGATTAGAATCTTGGCAGCCTTTATCAATCATGATTCTGTGTTATTAATTCATAATTACAGATTACACTTGGAAAAAGGTAAACCAATGAGCTAGTTGGTTCATGTTACATGGATCTTAGTAGGTACCTTCAGTTCCAAATGATAAAATGTTAGTTCCACATTAATCAAAGTATAGTGATCAAGTGAATATGAACACTATTCTTTTCTTAGTCCTAAACCTATAGTTGCTGATTTATAGAATTTCCACAGGTAGAACATCTGCAGTTTCTATCATTTAATTATTTTCTTATCTGCATGAACACTTGAGTCAAAACCATTTAAACAAAGGAAGCACTCAGTGGCATTCCAGCTGGAACTGGCCACTTCTACAAAAACACTAACAAAGACAAACTCAAGTGGGCTCATTTCCAAGTTCCAAGCAGTCTACTGGGCAAACACTTATCTTCATATGCTTCCCTCTGCAGATACTATTTGTATGTTCGTATCTTTAAATACCTCTACATAAAATCTGAATACTACATGGAGAACTGTCTTATCAAGCACCTCTTGACAATCTGGTAGAAAGCTCTCACTACTCAACACTGGGGTCTCAGAAACCATACTGAAATATTTTTTGAAATGTAAACAATTTCTAACCTCTTTAAGGTTATTTCCAGAGATATTGGTAATTAATACAAGACCATTGCCTTTACAGACTCAACTTTATGGCTACTAGCCTCCAAAATGTTACTGCAAATGTAAAATCTGAGAGATTTAATTTTATAAAAATCAGAAATTCAAAATCAAGAATTCCAAGGCAGAAGGAAACATCAATTTTGGATCCTCAATGCTTTTATAGCCAAAAAATATGAATATTGATCCATTTGTAACTCAGTAATATTGTCTCCGAGTCCCAGTTTTACAACATCCTTTTAGACAACATCTGATTCTGTCCATCACTATGGTTTGTAGGATTAAATAAGCTTTCACAGTTCAGACTTAATGGGAAGAAAGAAGTATGTATGTCTGGGCCTGAGATACACATGGTAAGGAAAGAGAACAGAATTTCGCTCATTCTAACTGTATTCCATTTGAATAGTCCAAGGACTTAATTAGACAGATTCCAAAGAAGGCGATAATGCCCTCAATTTTAAAACATCTTAACACATATACTGATTAATGCATGACATAAAAAAAATGTAACACCACCAAATATGTGCAAAAATTTCAGAGAATCAAAAGAAAAATTCAGGTTCGTGTTTAAACACAGTATTTCCACTCATCAACTGAGAGAAAACTGTACTTATGGGGAAAAAAGTCATAGACACATGCTTTTTTGAGGAGGATATGTTATAAAACTACTACCACAGTTAATACTTAATATTGCCTTAACATTTCTAAAGTCATAGAAAATGATCACCTTTGATTGCCAGTACAATAAATTATAATACAGAGAATGTTACTTCCTGTTCACTAGTAAACAAACATACATAAAACAGACTCCAAACAAATATTTAGTATTAATTATTTTGCATTAGCAAACATTTCTGAGATTTGAAGATTTGTGTTTGAGCATACAGTACTACAATGTTGGCTACATCAAATAAATAGAAAATCATTTTTTGAGAAAAGTTCAACAATCAAGAGGCTGTATTGCATTTAAGATGGAACACTGGCTATATACACACACAAGGGGACAATCAATGAGGAATACTTCCCATTACAGAGGTCTTCCCAGGCAGCAAAGCTCTTGAGCTCACCATTCTGACATTTAAAATCAACACATACAGCGTAGCTCTTTCATCCTTTGGTTCCCAGTGACAAACAATGAACGCAGTTTCTGGACCAGTTCCTCCTGGATGACATTTCTTAGTGAATATCTAATGTTTTAGCTGAAATTTGGCAGTCCAAGAAGTGCACCAACGGCTCCAAAGTATCCCTGCATAAGGCAATGTAGCTTTTAAATAAATTAACTTGTTAAGAACACACATTTATATAGCATGAATACATCAAAGAATACATTCCACAAAACAAACTAGACCCAGGAAAAGAAGCATCAAGTCCAACAGAACCAGCAAACCATCAAAACTAATACAGAAGGAAAGGAGAACAATCATCTATTAAAACAGCACTTAGGTTTCTGAAAATAGCAACTCCCTCTCCTTGCTAATTAACAACCTTAAATGTAAATGGCCCCAACTAAAAAGACAAACTAACGGCCTGAATTAAATAAAAAGAACTAGCCAGGTATGTTAAGACATATTTTTAATCCCAGCACCGGGAAGGGGCAGATGTAGAGGCAAGTAGATTTTTGAGTTTGAGGCCAGTCTGGTCCACAGATCAAGTTCCAGGACAGCCGTGGCTAAACAGAAAAATCCTGTCATAAGAAAACAAACAAATCTGAGAGATATCAAATAAACAATTTAATGATGCACCTCCAAGGCTCTTGAAAAACAGCCAATATTAAACAGAGCAGACAGCAAAAAATCCTACCAGGGAAGAAATGAATGAAATTGGGATTTAAATAACAACAACAACAACAAAAATCAACCAAAGAGTAAAACTGACAAACTTGAGTCAATCTGATAAAGACATAAATTAAAAAAATTAGAGGTCAGAGGATGTCATTACTAAGACTCAATAAAAAACTTTAAGCTGCAATCTATATACTTTTGAAATAAGTATCTTTAAACTATGGCTTTTAGATATTAATATTTACACAACTAAAATAGCAACCCTGTATCCTCTCCCTCCCTTTAGTCAATAAACAAAAAAACTCCTTTGACACTCTTAGTGTGTGCCTTGTAGAAGGGTGAGAACATTCCACTCTAATTTGTACAGAGAGCTGCGACAATAGAGAGGGAAACTTACTGTAGCAATACTTTGTTATTAATCCAAAATAATGTAAGCATTAGATTTCATTGTATGAGACTGATTAACTGCACAGGTTGGAATTTAACTGGATATTGTAACTAGGAAAAAAAGACTGGGAGGTGAGCTGTTTGGTTTTTTTGTTTGTTTGAACACAGGGTCTTGACATGTAATCCTGGCTAGCCTGGAATTTATACAGAGTAGACTGGCTTCAAACCTAGGCCAAAACATCTTGCCTCTGCTTCCTGACTCCTATAGTGTTAGTAATAACACTATAGTGTTAGTCAGCAGAACTGAAAAACAAATCTTACAGATTTAAAGAATTTACAATAGTTACTTCTCAGGGTGGGATGTGTTATAATACCTTGAGGGAGTTAAAAATAATCTCTTTGTTATGACACAACCCAGGCCTCGGAAAATAAATCAATCAGAAATACAAGGAACTAAGCTTGATTCCCTAAACCAATAAAAAAGCCAGGTGTATCTTTGTAAGTCCAGATGTTTTCATACCTCATGTTCTAGAAACAATGCTTTCAATTGACCTTTTGACCAGTAATCCAAAGCATATGCCAGAAGTTTCATAGAGAGAGTATTGACACGTAAAAAGTTTCCAACGAAGACAACTCTGTTTATTTTCTGGAAAAAAAGAAAAATAACTTTTATGTAAGAATGTTAGTGTCATTCATTACTACTTACATGGCATACAGTTCTACACTTCTGATTATTCATGAATTAGATAGTTAAAGAGTGAATTCTAATGTCAAATGTGAACTCTGGACTTTAGTGCTGATGTCATGTCCTACATGTTCTTGGATTACAACCAAATATACCAAGATCCAGAGTATGCGGAGTGAGGGAGGCTTCACAGATGTAAGGGAGGTGTGACAACAGCCTATACTTTCCTATTTCAGTTTTACTGCAAACCTAACATTGATCTAAAAAGTACTATCTAGTTGTTGTAACCAGGCACCATGCAATGCAACCTGGCCTTCCAGAATTAGACAGTAGGAATGAATGGGGAAGAGGAACCTAAAGGGTGAGTAACATAAAAGTTGCTAAAGAGGAGGAAGATGTGGGGCAGAGGAACAAGAGCCATAAACCAACTAAAACGTAATTTAGGAGCTGGAGAGATGTCACAGTGATTAGGAAAGAGGACCATAGTTCTATTCCCAACCACCTTGGCTGTTCATTCTTGCCCCAGGAAATCCAATGCTCTCTTCTGTCCTCTACAGTCACTGCACGTAAATGGTGCAGATACACGTGCAGGAAAAATACCCATACACATAAAATTAAAAAAAAAAAAAGTTTAGGCTGGAGAGCTGGCTCAGCGGTTAAAGAGTATTTGCTACTGATGGCAAACCTCAGGGACCCTCCTGTCTCTCCATCCATACCTGCTGGGGTTATAGGCCCAAAGTCACACCTGACTTCTTACACGGGTGCTAGGGATTCAAATTCAGGTCCTCTGCACAGTAGTCACTGAGCCATATCCCCAACCCTCCATATTTTTCTTAAGGCAAGCAACACAGCTCCCTCAGACAGCATGTGAAGAACAAGTCTCAATGCCTTCATAGCCCTGTACAATGCTGCTTGATCCATATGCAACAAGGCAGCACTGTAAAGAAGCCGAGGGCAGTAAGAAACTTTCCAGTATCTCAGTAACTAATTATAAACAAGAATCTGCTTTTTTCAATAGCTATCTCAAAATGTTTTATACTCATCTTTAACTCCCATTTAGATTTAGACTGTGTATTCATTTGAGAGTAAGTACTTATTGTCCTATATCTGGTCCCAAGTTGGCTTGTTTTTGTCTTGCAGGGTTGGGGACTGAACAATAAGGGACTTATGCTATTTGACATAATTCTTCCTTTCTTTTTATTGGTTATTTTGAAGCAGAAGCTGACTGTGTAGCCTTGGCTGGCCAGGAACTTTCTTTGTAGATCAGGTTGCCTTTGAACTCAAAGAGATCTACCTGGTTCTGCCTCCTGAGTAAACAAACCTTAGGTAAACTAGATAAACAAGACATTTTATCCGAGAGTGTAAAGAAATGGATCTCAACCTGAGAGGCCTTCCTGGAAAATAAGGTGTTCTGTTAGAAGCACAGGAATCAAATTATTTTTATTTGAAAATAAAACAAAAAAACCAAGGTCTCTCTAACCCCAAATGGCCTGGAACCAGCTATGTGAATAAACCCCAAACTCAAGAGTTCTGCCTCATGAGTGCTGGGATCAGAGGCACACACCACTATGCCCAGATTTTTTTTTTTTTTTTTTGTAAAATGAGAAGATCTTGGACACCTCCTTACCTCATTAACAGCACACATTCTTGCCACAGAGCCAATGTTATTGGTGATAGTAACTAAAGTAGCTCTCGCTAGATCCTCTTTACTAACAGTTTCTCGCTTCTCCTTATAAATCATATTTCCAAAACTGTCAAAAAAAAAAACAAAGGAACAAGTCAAATCTATTGATAACAATTAATAATTCATATACTAGCTTACGTATCTATGATAGGTCTATACAGTTAGGGTCAAAAGAGCATGAGCACATATGGAAAAGCTCAAAACAAAAATCCATGAGGAATAAGTAACATTTTAAAAAGAACTAGAAGTTAAAAAAAAAAAGCAGACTTTCTTGTTACTATGAAGCAAAGACTTTCATTACAATCATATATTAAGACCAATATACATAAGAAAATTAAAATCATTTTAGGAAGCCAGAAAAAAGTGCAATGACTTGCTTTTAAAGTCAAAATATTGTTAAAGATGATTTCAGCTCTAAAGTCAAATCCTTTTCATTCAATAACACAAGTATTTATGACATACCAAGCATTATGCTAGACATAAAAGGTACCTCAACCAGTATATTGATTAGGTCAGCACTGTTCAATAAAAATATGTGCCACATAGTACATTATCTATTAGCCATATTTGAAAGGGTAAAAATAAAAGTAAAATTAACTAGAAGTGTTCATCTTACTAAAAAGCCAATGTATCTAAATGCTGTCATTTGACTATATGGCATGCATTAACTACATTCCAAGGGCTTGTTGTACACATCTTGTTGAAGCTATCCTATGGACAAGAAAGATCATATAGCAGAGACATGTAAGTGTAACAAGATAGACAGACCAAATTACAGGGAGCAATAAAAAGAATAAAGATTGCGTTTTGAGGTAAAAAAAAAAAAAAGCTGAGGTTTTTCCACCTTAAAAAGAGAGAAGTAGAAGAAATATTACAGACAGAAGCAACCAAGTTAATGACCAAGATAAATGTCACACAAAAATAATGAAACATGTATGAAATCACAAGTGACATCACATGTGAAGAGTGAAGAGTGCAGAGACGTGCTAAGGAGGCAAAGTCCACTATTACTTCTAGAGGACACTGGATATACCCTGACAGCAACAGTCAATCACAGCGTAACGCAAATCACATATAAACACAGAGAGGAATTCATGAAGCTCTATCCCTCGAGGATCTAAAGGCAGTTAAAAGCGGATGGGGGCAGGAGAATGACACATTTTCTTCAGTTACAGAGCCACTGCTATGTTGCCAATGTACCGATGAACAACACTAACTAAACTCATTAGGTCATGAAAGGAAACCCAAAACATAGAAGGGGACTGACTAGCATCAGCACCGCCCGTCTCTGACTAACTACTTAGAAGAGGATCAATACAAGTAGGAATGGGACAGGAGAGAGTATCAGGGGTGAACATGATAAAAATAAATTATATTAGCCAGTGGTGATGGCACATGCCTTTAAAAGTGAGCTCCAGGATAGCCAGGAATACAGAGAAATTCTGTCTCAAAAAACCAAAACAAAATTTATATTTACAAATGAAAACACAATGAAACCCATTATGTGTAAAATAGTACACACTAACAAAATTTTAAATTGTTTGGAAAAATTTTATATTAATATAAATATATAACTTTTTAAATGTCTGAAAAGCACAGAAATGCCTTAATCAGGTAAGTTTTCTAACAGAAAGATGTAACATCATAAAGTCTCATTTTTCAACCATTATTTATTCTCTCCCTGTGTGTGTGCAAACAGACTAGAAGACAACTTGCAGGAAGTTAGTTCCCTACTTTAACTATGTAGGTTCTGGGGCTCAATCTAAGGTAGACAGGCACAGCAAAAGCACCCTTACCCACTGAACCATCTTATTGGCCCAAGGATGTCATTGTCCTAAGTTAACAAAGAAGCTTTGTTAAAGATGTTTCAGAATTAATAAGAACTTTTCCCTTCCTGTTTTTGGTTTTTTGATAGTGTCTCATGGTGTGGCCCTGACTGGCCTGGAAGTTCTTTAGTAGAACTTGGTTGGCCTTGAACTCAAGAGTTTCACCTGCCTCCTAAATGATGGTATTAACGACAGGTGCCACCATGGTCAGAAGTTTCTTTTTGTTCTGCAGTTCAGGGAATCAAATCCTGACTTGGGCATACTACGCAAATGCTCCTCCACTGAGAAATATCATCAGCACAAGAAAGTTTTTTTTTACAGGGTGCACATAGGGTAAACTTCATAATGAATTTATTTGTTTGGTTGGTTTTTTTGAGACAGGGTTTCTCTGTAGCTTTGGAGCCCGTCCTGGAACTAGCTCTTGTAGATCAGGTTGGCCTTGAATTCACAGAGATCTGCCTGCCACTGCTTCCTGAGTGCTGTGAATAAAGGCGTGTGTAACCATTACCCAGCTATTTGTTTTCAAGACAGGGTTTCTCTGTGTAGTGCTGAATGTCCTGGAACTTGGTCTGTATACCATCAGGCTGACCTCAAACTCAGAGACCCACCTGTCTCTGAAGTGCTGGGATTGATGCATGCAACACTACTTGAGTCTTTTATTTTTAAACTACTTCAATGTTGAAAACTTGGGCTCTATACAAAGAAATCACCCTTAAACCCCATGACATACTATTTTACAAAAACTAAATAGACAACGTGAATAACTTACCTAGATGCCACAGCCCAACCTGGCAGACCAAATCTTTCATAATCTCCTCCATAAATATCTCGGACCAGTCTATCAGCTTGGGTGCTGTCACCTTTGGATGCCATTTCAAGAGCCTCCTCAAAACTTTCACAGCCAGTCAATAAACTGCATAAACCAAGAAAGGTGCCCCCTCCAAGGCTAAATAAAGCAAAATAAGATAATCTTGTTAAATTGCATTTACATGTTATTTTCTTTTCCAACGTAAAAAGATAACATTCATTTATTGAATAAACACAGATGGAAAACATGGTAATTACTAAATATAAACATAATAAAAAAGAAAAACTACTTAGGAAGACCAGACCTGCAATCTCAAAGGCTAAGTCTGCTGGGAAGAAAAACCCCACCTGGAATCTAATGGCTTTGTAATTGCTAAAAATATACTACTGTGTGTGCATTAAAAGAAATACTAATAATAGGCTGGTGAGATAATGCATGCTACAATTGTCAGCACTAAAGAAGCTGAGACAAGAGCTGAAGTTCTGGGTCAGCCTGTCCAACACAGAAAGACTCAAAAAGGATGTCTATGTCCTAAAAATATCAAACAAAGAGGGAAATCTGTGCTTTAAATTCTCAAGAAATGACTCTGTGAAGGCTTACTTAGTTGCCCAACTGGGCTGAAATCAATTCAGCTAGTCTAACATGAACCAGACAAATACTTAGAGAGAAAGTATATATCCAGATGACAATGACATTAATGATAAATTTATTCGGTACTATTCCCATATCATTTTGGATATGCCCATAAAATGTAATTGTGCAGTTCTAGTCTTTAATGCAAAATCTTTGCTTGCTAGACTCACCTAAATTTCTTATTTTTTTCAGTTAACAAAAACAAGAAATGTTTTGTACAATTACTGGTTAATGACAGCACAAAAGTAGGCTTTTAAAGGACTACCACTATTAGAATACTAATGCACTTAAGTATTTCAACGGCACTACTGCTTTAAAATAAACTCCCCCTTTATAAACCTACCTAAAATATCTCAAAATTTTTGCTCACATAGTTAAACAGGCATTGCCACCTATCCTCAAAAGTTAATGAAATACATAAGAGAAAGTCTTGTAAAACCCTTCACATTCATATTTCAGATTATTAAAAAGTTATGGTATACCTGAAAACAATATATTCTATAAGGAGTTCACATTAAATTCATCCTAAAAACTAACTACAGGGCTCGAGAGGAGGCTCCAAGGTTAACTGCTCCTGCAGAGGCCCTTGACTCAGTTCCCACCATCCCTTTTGGGCTGCTCACAACTACCTGTACCTCAATTCCGGGGGTCTGACAACTTTGGCCTCTATAGACAAATGCACAAATGTCTTGCACATTAAATTCACATACATATAAATAAAAATAAGCACAAAATAATTAGCTACCCCACTATCTAATATTGTAGTTTAAATACAAATCTATATAGTACAAGGCAAGCTTTATGCTTAAATATAAATATTGAAAATTTTTAAAAGGAAAAATGCTACAGAAATTAAGCAAAAATATAAAGATAATGTAATTCTGAAGTCAACAGAATGCTGACTACCACTGCTAGTTCTGTTAAACCCAGGAAAAAACATGGAGGCAGATGCCTTTAATCCCAGCACTCAGAAGGCAAATACAGATAGATTCAAGGCCAGCCTGGTCTATGGAGTCTATGGAGTGAGTTCCAGGACAGGCTCCAAAACTACAGAGAAACCCTGTCTTGGAATAAACAAAGCAACACACAATAAATAAATAAATCTTACAAAAAGAGATCTGCAGCACTTTAATTTATTCATCTTTTTAAAGACATTACTTTTATGTGTTTCAGTGTTTTGCTTGCACACATGTTCTGTACCATGTGTATGGCTAGTGCCAGCCAAGGTTACAACCTCTGGAACTGGAGTTAAAAAAGGCTGTGCGCTGCCATGTGGGTGTTGAAACTGAACCTGGGTTTTCTGCAATAGCAAGGTCTCCTAACTACTGAGCTATCTCTCCAGCTCCCTATATATTTTGCTGCTGCACAAAAATGTATTTAGTTATTGTTCTGGTAAAACGAAGGAACTAGCGATATACTGATACAGCTTGGGGCCCAATTCAGTGTAGCATACTTACCTAGCAACAGTACAAGGGCTTATGTTTGATCTCTAGCACCAAAAATAAATAGACAGACAGACAGATAAATAAAACAAAATACACCCCAGAACTTTTATGCATAAAACATGACGAAGAATGTAATCAGACCAAAAAGATTTCTACCTTGTTCCAGTCACTCTTTTATAGTTGTCTTTGGAATGAACTGCTAAAATACTGACTCCTGAGCCAATATTCACTACCAGCAGTGGATAAGGATCATCCAGGTTAAAAGGCATCTTTTGGCATCGCTCAGGTTCTGAGGCATTAGCAAAATAATAGCATTCTGCTTGTCCATTGAAACTGACAGAATCTATATACAGTAAGCCCTTTACAAGGCAGTCAAGTTCATCCAGTTTGTGCAGGTGGAGGTTTCCAATCTGGAAGAAAAAACAAAAATCAAGAATTTTTAAAATATCCAACAAATATACTTGGTTTAACTATATTGAATAGTTTTCATAGATTTTATAAAACTTCAGTATTTTTTAAGGTATTGCAGCTTTTCCTTATTTAGGGTCAAAAATCTATCAAGGATTTTACTTAATCCACTAGTTCTCAGTGAAGGCAGCATCACCTGGGTATTTTAGATTTCAGTGGATGAAGTGGAGGCATGAGTAAAAGAGACACACTGACTACTCTTCTAGATGACCGGAGTTCAACTCCAGCACCCACATGGCAACTCCAGGGACTCTGATACTTTTTTCTGGTCACCTTTGGCACTAGATATGCACATGGTATATAGACTTACATGCAGGCAAAACACCCATGTACATAAAATAAAAACAAACCACCACAAAATTAAAAAAATAAAAAAATTTAGTGGACAGGGTTATGGAATGGTAGATATTTGTTATACACAGGACAGTTATGCAAACTTCAAAAATCACCTCACCTCTGAGTTACTTGACTATTCTGACACACATTAATTTTATCTATCAATGCACACAAACATAAGGTATTGCTCATAGTTTTAATGTATATATTAATTTGCTAGGCCAACATTCCAAAATACTGAATTAAAAGTGAATTACAGGTGATAAATCTCCAAATACGGAAACACAATATCCCTTCAATAGTTCTCTTGCCACATATACTATAACCTAAAGGACAAGAGGTGTATATTAATATAACTTATTATAGGAGATGGCTAATAGAGATAGCTAATATAACAAAAACGCCGGGCAGAGTTTGAGGCCAGCCTGTTTTACACGGAGAAATCCTGTCTCCAAAAACCAACAAAACCAGCTCCCGACCCCAAAAACAACAAAAAGAAAACAAATGTAAAACAGCAAAAGTAAGACTGCCAGATGCACTAAGCTTTTCTCATGTACCACATTCCATCAACATACTGAAATTTGGGGAATGTAGACAGCCCATAAAGTTGTTAAAATGTTCCAAGTAAAAATCTAGTCATGTACATATGCTTCAGGGAAAATGAAATTAAGGAACACCCTAGATCAGCAGTTCTCAACCTGTGGGACCCATCCTTTGTGGGAGGGGTCAAAGAATCCTTTTAAGGATTGAATCAGATATGTTGCATATCAGATATTTATATCATGAATTATAACAGTAGCAAAATTACAGTTATGAAGTAACAATTGAAATGATTTTATCAGGATGAGACACTGTATTAAAGGGTATCAGCATTGAGAAGGTTGAGAAACACTGTTTAGAAGCCCAGAATTAGATTTAAAATTGAATATTCTCATTAATTTTTGGTTTTCAAGTAATAGACACCTACTGTGCGAAAATCTTTCTCAAACTTGTAAGCACCGCCTCCTGTAGCACTCAGCACCGTTTGTAAGGTTGAGAAGTTTTTATCTCTTCCCATTTGGATAAAAGTAGGCAGGTCCTGGGTTGGAAATCTGATAAAGTGCAAGTTCCCTCTTCGTCCAAAAAGTGTTAAGTCCTTCAGTTCAAGGTGTACATCCCGAATGCCAGTAGATCCATATGCTACGTTAGAAGTCAAATATTTCCGAATGCTTTTTAAGCTTTCAACTTCCTCCTGTTCTTCCTCTGCTGTGATATCGATAGGCTCAAAATATGAGAGCTTCACTAGAGTTCCCCCAATGTCCATGCCAAACCATGGGAAAGCTGTGAATTAAAAGAAAAAAAAAAAAGACACACACACACACACATATATATATATAATGATTATGGGGAAACTAGAATGGTTAGTTAGCCACAAACTTCATTTACTCTTTAAGTAGTAACCTTAATGGCTAAGACTTACCTACCACATATAACTCATTTTTCCTTCAGTTGTACTTGTATACTTTTGTTCCCCTTGGATTCTTTCTTTCTTTTTTTTTTTTTTTGAGACAGGGTTTCTCTGTAGCTTTGGAGCCTGTATTGGAACTAGCTCTGTACACCAGGCTGGCTTCAAACTCACAGAGATTCATCTGTCACTGCCTCCCAAGTCCTGGGATTAAAAGTGTTGACCACCATCACTGCCCAGCTATTTGTATACTTTCTAAAAACTTACATGATACTGAGACATTGCCCAAGACTTTTAAATTCTTTATCTGGTATGCCCTCTATTCGCCCATTAAATGCTTACTTATCATGTGACTCTGGTGACAAGAAGAATATAAACCCATCAGTTATCACTAGGATTTGAAAATTATTGTTCTGTTTTTAAGTTATTTTTTTATGTGTATGGAGTGTTTTGCCTTTGTGCTTGTATGTGGTTGGTACCCAAGAAAGTCAGAAGAGGGCATCTGGTACAGATAGATAGATGGTTGTGAGCTGTCATATGGGTGCTGGAAATTGAAACTGGGTCCTGCACAGCCCCTCTATAAAGATTTTAATGTACTAAAACTAGAGGCTAAGGAGAGGGCTCAGTGGCCAAAAGATCTTGCTGTAAAAGCAGAAGGATGTCAGAACTCCCAAAACAGACTGAGCACCTGTAAGCAAAGGAAGATAGGAAAAGTACACACCTTTAATCCCAGCACTTGGGAGGCAGGTGGGTCTCTGTGAGTTCAAGGCCAGCCTTGAACTCAGTCTACAAAGAGTTCCAGGACAGGCTCTAAGGCTACAGAGAAACCCTGTCTTGAGAATTCAAAAAAAAAAGAAAGAAAGAAACCAAAGAAAATAAAAGTACATGTCTCAAAGTAAGGTAGAAAGGCAAAAGGACTAGCATTACATGACCATGTATGCTTGCCTACGTTCATACAACACAAATGTACACATACATACACGCACACACACAAAAACTGAAGTGGGTAAGGCTACATAGAGAACCTTGTCTCCAAAAAATAAATAAATACCAACACCACCAAAAACTGGCCTACAATCACATCAGGTAACCAATGGAAAAACTATCTCCTTAAACTGAAACTTTGGGGGAATAGAGTAATGGTTCAGTGATTAAGCACTTGTTACCTTTCCAGAGTTCTGCAGCTCACAATCACCTGTAACACCAGTTCCATGAGACTCAACACTGTCTACACACACACATACACACAAATAAAATGAAATTTTTCTTCGCTCATTCAGCATGTTAATTTTCTTTGTTACATATGATTAACTATACTGGACTGCCTATATAAGGACAAGCACATATGTGCTAAGAGTAATATTCAGGTTTAGGACTTCAACTAACTGGGCTATGTGGCTCTGGGGGGCAAAATGTGATGCTTCTTTCAATGTAGAGAACGCTAAAAAACAAAAATTAGCCCACCCAAAGGCAAAGTCCTAATATATATATAGTTAGGCAACTATGAGAAAGAATTAAGCTGAGAAAATAGTCAAGCACAAAAGACCTGCATGGTAAGGTAAGAAACTTACTCTTGAATCTATAGACTATTTCAGGGGCCATTTAATTTTGCCACAAGAAAGTACACAGTTTGGCTGAACATCAGAAAGCTTTATAAAGTAGCAATATACAGAACATAGAGTTTAAGAGGCACTTACTAGCAGGGCAGTGGTGGACCATGCCAATAATCCTAGCAGTTGAGAGGCAGAGGCAGAACTCTGTAAGGCCAGCCTGAGCTACAAGACAGCCAGAGCTACACAAAGAAACCCTCGAGAAACAATAAAAACAAAACAGAAAAAGCAGCTGGATCTGAGTTCAAGGCCAGCCTGGTCTACAGGATAAATTCTAGGACAGCCAGGGTTACACAAAGAAACCTCATCTCGGAAAAAAAAAAAAAAAGCACTTAAAAAACTAAAGGTGCCTGGCAAGTAGAAAATCAAAACCATCTAGGTATTATTTGAAAATTACAGATTTCTGGGCTCTCACTCCAAGGTGTTGGGCTGAGATGGTTCAGCAATTAGAAGTGTTTGCTACTCTTCCAGATGACTCGAGTTCAGTTCTCAGCACCCACTCCAGGTGGCTCAGAAGTGCCAGTAACTCCAGCACCAGGAAATGTGACACCTGCTTCTGGCCTGCAGGCACCATTTATGTATATGGTACATATAGGCTCTCAAGCGCAGTTCAGTTGGCAGAGCTGCATAAAGCATTGGCTAGTTGCATACCTGCAATCCCAGTACTCTGTAGGTAGAAGCAAAAGGGTCAGAGGTTTGTCATCCTAGGTAAAAAGAATGTGGTATCACTAAGAGCTGCTTTAAGTTCAGAAAATCTAGCATTTCTTCTTTGAGAAATTCATTCATGGTCTAAAGAGCCCTGCTTAAAGGGGGAAGTCATGTATAATGTTACAGGTCATTTTACTGTCCCATCTCCACTAATGCTTCCAAAGCAATATAGTGACAGTAGACATTTATTATCAAGTGCTTGAACCAATTCTTCTGTACTTCAAGGTTTTAAAAATTGTCTTTTGGCCTTTTTGGAGGTTGGATTATTTTAATGGTAGTTACAACTATTTTTTTCTTGTACTTCAGAGTTCAAATAAACAGAACTGTAATGTACAGAGGAGGGACCAACCATATATCAATTATTCTGCTACAAAGAGATTTTTGGTTACTTTCAATACCTAAGTATAAGCCCGATGGTGGTGGCGCATTGCTGCCCACCCCCACCTCGCCTTCCCCATATGATTTTTCAAATTATTTATTTATTTATTTTGGTTTTTTTGAGATAGGGTTTCTCTGTGTAGCCCTGACTGTCCTGGAACTGGTTCTGAAGACCAGGCTGGCCTCAAACTCACAGAGATCTGCCTGCCTCTGCCTCCTGTGTGCTGAGATTAATAAAGGCATGAGCCACCACTGCCTGGCAACCACTAAAAAAGCAGAGAAAATGAGTTTGCTGAAAGATGTCACGTGTTCCCAGATGCACTAGTTTTTTGGAGCAGGGTCTCCTGCCATACAAGAACCGAGAAGACAAATGTGCTTTTCCATGCTAGCCTGGGGCTCATTAGTTTAATCGGGAAAATGTAAACCTAAACCTTCACTGTTTCTCTGGCTTTCTTTTTGCTTTTTTTCTGTTCTTGCTTTTTTGAGACAGGGTTTCATCATGTAACTCCAGCTGGCCTGGAACTTGTTTTGTAAACCAGGTTGGCTGGCCTCAGAACTCTTGAGAATCACAGGTCCCTTGAACTAAGGCAAACCTTTTTTTTAAAAAAAATTGTTAATGTATTTCATAGGCAGATAATCTAAAATTAAAACAACAATAATAAACTTGTGTTTCCCAAGTATTTATTTAGACTATGCCCTGTAGGTGGGATGGAAACGACACTGCACTTTGAGCGACTCAGTGGAGAGTGCTGAAAAGTTACTGAGGCGAAGTTCAGTCTCCCTCATCTTTAAACAATAAAAACTCACATTTCAGTAACTGTTTCTAGACTGCTTTGGAAGCTGCTTCCGTGAGGTTTACAGGACCCGTCAATGGGAGCAGGCAGGGAAGGTGTTCAGAGCCCCCTTTCTAACCTGATCTCGGGGAGCAGTCGGGAGGATAGCCTGGAACACTAGAAACCATAAAACCTAGGGCTAAGATAGAGCACGGATCCCCACACCCTAGCTTACAGAGACCGAAGGAGCAACAGTTACAAGGACCGAACCAATGAATAAACCAACTGCAGGAATTAAAGGCTTTTAAAAGGCAGCTTGTGAAACTTGAGGTGCTCTTTGACAGCACGGTTAGTCTTCGCAGTCTATGCATGCACGATTACAGAAAAAGCTCAAGGTATGTACCACGACATTAATGTACTTCGAACTGGGTAGTTGAAATATAGGGTTTTTTTTTTTTAAAAAAAGTCTTCTTATTTATCTGCTTTCGAAAACACAAACCAATTGCTATTCTAACTTGCCAAGGCAATTTACCTATTGGCAGACCACACGCACAGGCGTTGAAAAGGTCCACTGGCAAGAGAAGACAACTCCCAGGAACCTACCTGGACTTCAAGGACACGCGCAGAAATCAGGAAAAAAAAAAAAAAAAAAAGGTACCAACCCCTAGCTGGGAGCCCCGACCACCTTTCCGCCCTGACACCAAGACTGGACCGATGTGCAATCCCGTTTGGTAAAACCCGAGTCAAAAATCTCCCGTGCACCTCCCAGATCCTCTCCAGGAGCAAGTGGGAGCAGAGGGCTGGGGGGCGGCAGAAGCTCGCCAGGCGGGCGTGCACGGGGGTAGGGAAGCGCGCCGCCTGCAACCTGGGGCTGCTGCGATCCCTCCCTTCCCTCCCAGGCGGGCGCCCGCGAACAACCCCCAGATCAAAGCAGGCCGCTCCGCCCGAGGCTCCCAGGGCCGCCTTCCCAACCAGCGGGTCCCGGCTCCCATCTTACAAGGTTTTTTGGCATCCTTGATCTTCATGGCGTCGGCCTAAGGCGCGAGGAGTAGCCTCGGGTGCAGAGCGCAGCGAAGACCAGGGAACACTCCGGAGCAGGTCGGGCCGCGCGGCGAGGCCCGGCCGGCCGGTTCCTCCCCTCAGGCCGGGCGGGGCGGGCCTAGGGCGGGGCGGCGGCGCCTGAGGCGACGGGCGGCCCACGGGGCGGCCCCGCAACCCCGCAAGGGGCGGCCGGGACCGAGCGAGCTGGGGGAGGCCGCGGGCCTCTCCGCTCCGTGGCCCCCCGCAGCCGCTCCAAACAAAAGGCCCCGGTCCCCCGAGCCGCCGCCGCCACCGCCACCGCCGCCGCCGCCGCCGTACTAAGAAATAGCCCGCCCAGGCCCAGCGCCCACGTGACTCAAGCCCCCTCGCCTCACTCTCCGCGAGGCTGCTAGGAGTTGTAGTTCTCTGCAGCGTGAGGCTCTACTCTCCTGCGGCAGATGCGCAGACAGACTACAAAGCCCAGGATGCCTCGGGACCCCCTTTTCTATACACCCCCCCCCTCCGCTTCCGGAGATCGCCTCAGAGTGGTCCCAGCGGGAAGGAGGCGGGGCTTTGGTCACGCCAGCAAGAAGGCTGCCAATGGTGGTAGCCGTGGGCGGTCTGGGCAGTTCCCGGGCTCTGGTCTCTGAAGAGAGGGGCTGTGAACTCTGTAGGCGCTGTCGTGGCTGTCACTCAGTCTCCGGTCTTTCTCCCTGAGGGTTATTGTCCCAAAAGTCAAAGGTCCAAACCACTGAGTGCTTTCGATGACTTAAAGTCATTTACGAGGGAACTCACTGAAGGAACACTTTGAATATTGGGGTTGGGATGATGTCGTTATGATGGTGACATTTTACTACACGAGTATTATTTACTGTAGTCTTGCAGCCTTCTGAGTGAGCCACATGCAATTTTTATATATTGTGAAGTTACAGCAGGAACGGGGCAGCCGAAACACATGAAAGTTGCAGGGCGGTGGTGGCGCTCGCCCTTAATCCCAGCTCTCAGGGAGGCAGAGGCGGGTAGAGCTCTGTAAATTCCAGGTTAACCTGGTCTACAAAGCAAATTCCAGGACACAAATTCCAGGGCTACACAGAGAAACCCTATCTCGAAAAAAAAATTAAAAGGAAAAAAACAAAACTTGGAAAGCACATCCTCTTTGTCCGTGTTCCACGTTCCTCGCGGGGTCTCTCCAGTTCACTCCTCATTACAGAGAGGAAAGAGACTTTCTGAGAAGAGAATTAGATGCACCAGTTCTTAGAATGAACTCAGGACACCCTTTTCTCTGTGCCTCTTGTGGTTTGAGACTGTCAACCAGGAAAGGAAGAGATGGTATCATGGAAGACCCGGACTCTCCTCCCCTCTTATCTATTCGATGGCACGGAATTCAGTGATCGACAAGATAGGGTTTGGTTTGAGAGTAGGCATTGAAATGGCTGGAGTTGTGTACTTCAGAGTGCTTGCGGGGAGCTGGCCCTGGAAGATAGCATTCCAAACAACTTTTTTTTTTTAAAAAAAAAAGTATTTAATTTTATTTTATGTGCATTGGTGTATTGTTGTGAAGGTATTGGATCCGATGAAACTGGAGTTACAGTCGTGAGCTGCCATGTGGGTGTTGGGAATTGAATCAGGATTCTCTGGCAGAGCAGCCAGGGCTCTTAACCACTGAGCCATCTCTCCAGCCCCCAAGCAGCTTTTTAAATGGGCGAGCTCTACTGTCCCGTCTCTGTGGATTGCTATGGTTTGGGTACGGTTGCTCTAAGTCACAGCTCGCATTAAGCCTTCGTTTCTCTATGCAGTAGTGTGAGCAGGTGGGGTCTTCGGGAAGTGATTGAGTAATGGAGACACCAACCCTGGGGAATGGATTAGTGCCTTTCTCTAGAAACTGCATTTCACCCCATGTGACTGGGTTAGATCTCACGGGAGTGACTTGGGTCTGGCAGGCCTGGTTTCATGACTGAGAACTGGCGGATATAAAAGCTAGCTCTGGGGTTCTTCACATTCCCTCCCTTGTTCTTCTCCCATGGGTGTCACCTCCCATGAAGATTTGTCAGAACATCCCTGACTCCAAAGCTGTATGCTACCCCCCCCCCACATACACACACCACACCAAATCTCAAATATTTTATGAGCAACACAAAGCAGATTGAAACAGTTGATAAAAGCAGGGGGCGGGGGAGGATCCTGGCCCTTGGGAGGCAAAGACAAGTGGGTCTCTGTGAGTTCAAAGACAGTCTTGGTCTACAGAGGGAGTTTCAGAACAGCAGCCCAGGCTACCCAGAGAAGCCCTGTCTTGGAAAACCAATATATATCAACTCAAACTTGAAGTCCCGGGCTTTTAACGTTTTTAGTGCTTCCCACAACTAGGGGAAACCAGCACTGGAAACCCCTCTGCAGTGCCCCTTTGCCGAGGGGGAAATTCACTTTGGTGGATAGGCCTTTAGCTCCATTGGTAGCTGTCCTTAAAGAAGCTGCCTAGAGGCCCTGCTGAATTTAAGCCCCACTCATGAGGCTTTGGTGCCTCCAGTTCCTCTTAACATAATGGGTTCAAACAAACAAAGAAACAGTTTTGGTTTTTTGAGACAGTGTTTTCCTGTGTAGCCTTGACTATCCTGGAACTCACTCGGTAGACCAGGCTGGCCTCAAACTCAGAGATTC